CCTATACATATAATATATATATTTAAATATATGTATGTATGATATATGTATATATACATATATATATAGATATAGATAAACATACACATACATACATACATACATACATTCATATATATATATAAAATACATACATACATATATATATATATATATATGTGTGTGTGTGTATATATATATCTAAAGGGGTTCGGTGCACCAGAGTACCGTATGATATGATATGCAATACACGAATATGCAACTGGCGAGCACACGGACACGTATGTGCCTATGTACCTGGGATCCGCAAGCTGACAATGTCAGCAACATGCATATTTGAGCAGAGATAATTTGTCGCACATAAACACAACGGTATATGTAATTATATGCGTGTTGCTTACGAAATAGGCCAAATCTGCAATAGAATCGGGAGCTGCACCCATAGTGACCCTTGGCGTACATACACATAAATATAACTTTAAACAAGAATGTAGCGTACATAAAATACACATGCATACGATCGAGACTATTTCAACATGCGGAGATAGGCACAGATGCACGCATACCAATTCGCACATATAACTAGCTACATGAGTGGCAGTTAGACTCGAAAACTATGAGCAAGCAAAGCTCATCTGACAAATAAATGCGCTCTATGAACTAAGCAGCATACGATTGCAGAAATTCACTTATACAAACCCACATATCCAAACAAACATACCCACACATTCACCCACACAGACCCATACATTCACCCATATACCATACAGATCCAGATATGTGCAAGTAAGACTTACGAAACTTGTTTCGGCTGATTTTCTCGACGTGACACGTGTATTCGGACGTGGCGCTTTCGACCACTGAGTCGAGAGTCTTCCTCTGCAACAACATGTGTAGGTGTGTGGGTGCAAAGCGTAGGAGCATACTAATGACTAATGGTTATGAGCTATTCCGCGTGTGCGCGTGTATTGGTGAAGGTAAATACTAGCAGAATACATGTATTCAGCCGCCAAATAAATGTGTATATGTATGTTTGTGCATATATATATGTGTGTGTTTATTCATATACGTATGCAAACATACAAACATACATCCATGAATAAATCTATATATATCTATACACATACATACATACATAAATACATATAAATATACATATAAACATACAAGCATACATACATGCATACATACATACATACATACATACATACAAACATACATACATGCATGTATGCATACACACACACACACACACACACTATATATATTATTATATATATATATATATATATATATCTGTATATATGTATATATATATATATATATGTATAATATCTAGTCTAACACGGGGATATCGAGTGAATATATTCCACAGTATAGTGACATAATTCAGTGACGAATATTGAGTCATGACAGGAATATCAAGTGAACATACAGCTTCTTCCAGTATCTTTAGATAGTTGACGGGGGTGGTTGGTTCTACCACGCACGCAAGAAGCACACCGGCCCGGATGATATCCATGCCGTGGAACAGACTGGGAGCGTCGGAGGCATTCTAAAAACATAAAGAAATATGTTGAAGAAATACAGAATGGTATCGATGCTGTACAACAGACTGGGCGTGTCGGAAGTACGCTAGACATAGACGAGACTGTGAGAGTCAGAGGTGTTCCTAAAAATAGACGAGATTATGTTTCAAAAAGGAAAATAGGATGATATCTATGCCGTAGAACAGACTGGGAGTGTACCAAAATGATTCGGTGGAATAAACTGAGAGTGTCCGATGTATTCTGAAGATAGAAAAAAAAGAATGCTTAAAACCGTAGGGTGATGCCCATGCCGTTGAACAAACTGGATTGTTGGTAGTCTATGTGAACTTTTAACTTCCGAAATAAATAAATATAGTTCGGTCCTTAGCATCTGCCTGTACTCCTGGTTCAGGATCATCCATCAGAAACGTTTCGAGAACGATTCCGATGATACATTTTCGGCTTTCACCCACTTGAAATGATATTTTAGACTACGGTGTGGGTACAGCAACATACAATGGGCCTTGTCGCTGCAGTCAATCACAGCTATTGGATTACGTCATTGACTCCACCCAACGCGAACAAGATTGGAAAAGGTGTGTACAGGCTAAGACATTATCCACTAATTAATCAACACAAACATAGATAGATGCCACCATCGCCTAATGCCATATTTGGCATAATTGGTAGTCAACACAGGCATATTCTCAGCGAAACACACACGTCCACCAGATATATAGTAGCAGATGCAGTGAACCACGTGAGACCACAGCTGCTCAAGGCAAGTACATGGCGCTTCGGTATATATATATATATATATATGTATATATATATATATATATATATATACATATATATATATATATATATATATATATACATACATACATACATATATATATATATATATATATATATATATATGTATATGTATATGTATATGTATATATATATATATATATATATATACATATATATATATATATATATATATATAGTATATATATATGTACATAAAAATATACATATTTACCTACCGAATTGTACACTGACGACAGGCCCGTGGAAGTAGTCCGCCCAAGAGAGGCAAGATCCTGAGATTGCATATGGATATTTGATGGGTCGTCAGGAAAAATGAAAAGTTGGATTTAATGTATATATCTCTCTAAATCGGAAGGTGGGGTAGCAATGAGTAGGTCGTAAAAATCCGATGAAATCATGCACGGGGATGTTCGCGCTGATTCTCGCATATACACTTTCTACTAGACCAAGACACACCACACTGCAGCCGTGCCACGGGTGGATAATGCCTTCGTCCATATGACCAACTGTATCCGATCAAGTGGCCACAGATTTGTACCGAACGGAACGCACGACAGACAATCTTCCCAACATAGCCCTCGAACAAATACACTTATGATGTGATGGACGCTGGTACAAAACTATCAACAATCACCAACACCCAGCGCGGATTGTACAGGGCCCCTTCTAAAGGTTACGTTTTCCGGTTTGAGACTGCACATTTGCCTAATTTTCACAACTTATTTCAGCGAGAAGAAAAAAACGTAACCTCTGGCGAGTTGTCACCCCCTAGCTACACACACATATATATATACATATACATATATATATATACATACATATATATAT